TAGGAGAGAAGTGCCTCTAGCAGTTCTTAACATGCATCCACCCTCTCTGTGCCACACAAATATAAAAATGAAACTGAGCCATAATGTAAGAACCCACAGGTTAAGGGCCAGATATGTGATTCACATATGTAAAAGAGTACAGTGGTGTGTGGTCTGTGAGAGAGGACAGAGAAGGCACGGCGTGGAGGTTCTTAATCTGGGTCTCATCAAAGGTACTGGATATAGACAAGAAATGAAAGAACAGGCACAAAATAAGATGAATAGAGTTCATACCAGGAATGCCCAGAGCATTAATTTTGCACATAAATTAATGCAGCAGGCCAGAGATTATTATTCTTAGGAGGTCAGTTTCCAAGGCTAATCTCTGGTTGGCATCTTGGGATTATTCTGAGTGTTTTCCCTTTCCCTACCTGATACGGGGGCTTTAATCAAACAATGAAATCAATGTTCAACACCTACAAACCTTCAGACACCTCAAGTAATGGTAGGGAATATTTAGTTTTTCTGGCTTGAGATTGCTACAGGCATCTAGTGGGTGGAGGCCAAGGGGCTGCCAAACATTTTACAATGTACAGGACAGCTCTCTACAATAAAGAATTATCCCACCCACTAAAATGTCAGCAGATCTGGGAGATTGTTCCAGTGGGTAAAAGCACTGGTTGCTATTCTAGAGGACCAGGGTTTTATTTCCAATACCCACATGGTGGCTCACAATTGTCTGTTAACTTCAATTCTGGTGCCTCATTCTGACCTCCACAGACACTGTATGCACGTGGTGCAGTCATTCATTCAGGCAAAAACATCTATTCATATAAAAATAAATATATATATTTTTAAATATTAGTAATGTCTTAGTTGAAAAATCTTCTCACAAATTCTATTGGTCACCTTGTGTTTTCATCATTGAACAAACCAACCCAAACATTAGGGCAACAGATACAAAGTGGCTGAAAAGCCAAAATACTCAAAGTATTGCTCAATATTAGTCATCTTTTCCTCTACAAGTTTTGACTTTGGAATAGAACAGCTGGGGGCACTGTGGTAGACTGAAAACCAAAAGAGGAAGTACTTTACAAATCAGTGGTCTCAAATACAAATATTGCTATCTATACATGTACAGTGGCAGTTGAACTGCCGAAATGCTCCTAATTTTGCTTAAGAATTTAAGGTTTGGGAGAAACGAAGTATCAAATACTTACCAAATTAAGAAACCCTAGCAATCTAAACAAATGCTATTACAAATGTGCAGTCAAGCACTAGAGGAGCAAACTCAAAGGATTCAAAAGGAGGGCTACGTTTGCTAGGAGCTCCACTTTCCTATTCCTCTCCCCAAGATCCAACCACTGGAAGAGGGACCATGGCCTATCAGCAGTGAAGGGCACTTGCTGCTCTTGGAGAGGACCTGGATTCAATTCCAAGCACTCACACAGCGGCCTTTTATAACTTCAGCTCCAGGGGATCTGAAGCCCTGACTTCAGAGCGCACCAGGCACACACCTGCTGCACATACAGATGTGCAGGCAGGCAAAACATTTGTATACATTGAAAAAATTATTTAAAATTTTTTAAAAAATAAAAATATTTTTTATGTGCTAGGACTGAACCAAAGGCTCTGAGAATATGAAACTCGTTTTATATCCCTGAGTAACATTACCAGCCTCAATCACATTAATTTTTTTTTTTTTTTTTTGAGACAGGGTTTCTCTGTGTAGTTTTGTAACCTGTCCTGAAACTTTTCTCTGTAGACCAGGCTGGCCTTGAACTCACAGATTTCTGCCTGCCTCTGGAGTGCTGGGATTAAAGGCATATGCTACCACTGCCTGGTTTAAATTTTTTCCTTTACTTAAGAGGTGTGTCTACTTTGCCACAGAGTGGGAGTGGAGCTCAGAGGGCAACCTGCAGGAGTTGGTTCTCTCCTTCAACCCTGTAGGGTTCAGGGATCAAATTCAGGCTATCAGGTTTGGCAGTACTCTCATCCACTGAGCCCTTATACAGGTTCCCCAGTCACTTTTTTTTGAGACAGTTTCACTATGCAGCCTTGAATGGACTGGAACTCACTGGTAGACCAGGCTGGCCTTCAACTCACAGAGCTCTGCCTGCTTAGTGCTGGGATTAAAGGTGTGTGCTACCACACTCGGGTGTTTCTTTTTTTTTTTTTTTTTTTTTTTTTTTTTTTTTTTTTTTTT